ACGGTTAAACGCCGAATTGGAACTTAGTTGCGTAATTAAGGCATTTTCATCAATTATAGTTTAGAAATAAAAGATACTGATGATTTGGCATCATACATTTCTGAGCACATCCATGTTCTTTAACTGAAGGTCTATTGGGCGAAAATTTGGTAAAATGTCTAAAGTAGCCATTAGGGTTGGCCTCAGCGTCCTCGCAATTTGTATACTTTCGAACATCTTAAGACGGGTTTCTGAATTCTATATAACACACCAGAGTGCCATTGAACAACATTGATCTACCCGAAGATATTTCGTGTGAGAATTCCATGCAGAAATGTATGCTTTCCTGCTGAATGCAAAGTGCCAAGTGATATCAGAAATTAGAAAAGTCCGCGTTTTTCTTTTTTTTTTGTTCGAGATTCACTAGGCAGTGCCGACTTCAAAGAGCAAAAAAGCAGTCGAAAGAAAACCAAGGTACGGGAAAAATGTACCTTACAGAGTAGTGGTTTGCCTTTTGTATAACTGAAAATAGTTACATTTTACAGTGGAGATTCCTAAATGTCGTTCTAAGTATTACCACCGAATAGTATCTACCACCGAATAGGACAAGAAATAATGCTCCCAAAAAAATCTTGTTGTCGATAAGTGGCATGCGCAATATTTCCGATTGCCCAGCAAAGGGACGCTCTTATTGAAATCGGTCGGGCACTGGGACCACTATAGTAGACATTGTGGATAAGGCTATCGCAGTCTACTCCGCTATCAATCTAAGATGCGCAAAGCTCTCTATTACAACCCGGCGTCTGAGCTCTCGGGAATTTTGGGAGATTTCTAGACATATCCCCCCCCCCCTGGTGTCAACGTAAGATTGGCAATGTCTGAAACAGGGATTCTATTAACACTTTCACGAAGAGGTCGAAATGCAACGACAGAATTTATAAGAAAACGCCGCAGGAGGTTGTCAAGAAGTTTGGTGAAGCGTCGGCCTGCAAAGTGAGGAAGTTATTTTTTGCACATAAACCATTTCCAAAGCAATTTACGCATAGCAATAATGATGGCAAATTGTTAGATTTCTACTTTATATCTTTTGTTTGCCAACTATCTCACGTAACTTCAGTCTACGAATGATACAAATTATTTATTGGAGTTTCAATATTTTTTCGCAATGGAAGCCAATTGGGCAACCAAAGCATATACCATTATTGATATTCAATTCAGTATACCAGTCAATAATAGAAGATTTCCCCCGCACCGAGTTACCAATACTAACTATTATCCATCCAATTAATCAGATTTGTCGCCGTAATGTTGCATGGTCATGAAAATTTCAAAGACATGGACAGAGCAATTAAAAATCAGTCAGAAGAATAGTTTTTCAATGCTTTCCTTACAAATACCCACACTTAAAAGTGACTAACAAAATTTTTAACTACAGCGACTACAACATAACTTATAAGACTTGTCAGTCAATGCCGAGGTGTTGCACAATTATATGGCTGCCACATGGTCAGACAACAATCGCCACAACTGTGATAGGTATGTATGTACGTAGTTTGACCTAGAAGCGAACATACGAGTACATACATGCGAGTAATTTATGGCAGCCAGCAATAAAATTAAATTCTCAAACTCACGAGTAGAGAAACTTGTTCGGCATACAAAAATGCAGTCGATCATTTTCGCCCGTAGCTGTGTTTTGACCAAAAATGTGAATTAGCTAAGAACAATAATTTGCTTAGAAGAAAATTGCACGCCAACTTCGAACAAATAATTATTAAAAAAAAAAGAAAACTGCATTTAATTGAATGAGTAAGTTAGCAGTGAAACGAGTTTCTAAACGCTCTGCATTTGCAAGCTGTAATGTTGGATGTATGGCGGTTTTTTTACTTTGCTTTTTTTTACTTTACTTTTTTTTTACTTTACCTTTTTTTAACCTTTTCTACTTAACTTTTTTTTACTAAACTTTTTTTTTAGTATTTGTGACTTTTAACTCTAGCTTCAATTGCATTGTTGCGACCGCATTGGCCTTGCGCTAATCCACATTTAAGAACACGGCGCAAGCGCAGCAACAGCGGCCGCAAAAACCAGCAAAAGACAGCGACAGCGACAGCCTACAGCCTAGCGGACGATCAGCAACATCGTTCGCAAGCAAGCAACTTCAACGCCAGCAAAAGCAACTGTAGTATCCATACACCTCCTCTGCTTTACGCTGCATAGTCGTGTTTGCAGCTTAAATTTTTTGTATATTTAGTTTTTTTTTTATTCTGCTAATCGCAGCCACTGACACAGTCATATGGCGCTGCATTGTTGCTTTGTTATTGGTTCTACGTAATTTCGTTTGTTTTATTTTGATAAAAAAGAAAAAAAACAGAATATTTATAAGCCATCCAGTCAATGATACTTAAGTCTTCTATTCTGGTACACAAAAAGTAGAAAACGCAAAAAAAGCATATCAAAACAAGAAATTTGATTACGAAAAAAATAAAAAAAACACATTGCAAAAAACCGAAATTGCTAAAGTCGGTTTGAAACAGCGCTAGCTACATACATCCATACATGCATTTGTGGTCGTTCAATGCTTTTCAAATACTTACCAATTTACCAATTTAGCAATTTTATTTACACAAATCGCCAACGCAGCGATCAACCGAGCGATCAGAACGTTTTCAGTCAGCGATCGGTGAAGTTCGAATTCGAGTGGAAATTTTATTGAAATATGCGCATTGAAATCGCACTGAAGTCGCGTTGAACTTGGGAGTGCAGTATTCTATGCAACAAAGCGTGACGCGAAGTGCAGTGCCAAAGACGTGTGCGACGCAGGGTGATCGTGCAATTTTTTTTTTTAATGCAGCTTGAACTGTTGGCGTTTTACTTCTTTTACTATGCCAGCTATTTGAAATTTTAAATAATATTCGCTAGTCGTGAGAAAATCATTAAAATATTTTAGTAAAATTTAGAAAGACACAAAAACAAAGGAATTCGTGTGCAATGAGTTTTAATAATGATGTGCGTTTCAAATGGGTATCATAAAACTTCATATACATATGTATGTAAATATTCAAATGGAAAGGTGAAATAAGCAATTTACAGAGATGGGAAAATAAATAGTGATGCAACGTTTTATGAAGTTTAAGCTATCGTTATTTTGTTTATTTAATATGTATTATATTCTAATGAAAATATAGCTAGCTACGCAAACAAAACCATGTAAGTCCGAATTTCCAGGATTGTACAAAATGTAGGAAAAGTCGACAAATTTCCATGAAAATTTCAAACTTTTTAAAAGTATATTCGACAATTAGGGTTGGAACTATACAACTCACAAGTATGATAGTGTCGATACTTTTTTCGCCTTTTCGAGTACCTTTGGCATCGTTAAATATATGTATAACGAGGGCTTATATTTAATACTTTTATTAATAATAATAAAAAGTAATAATTATTCATGAACATTTATTTCTGTTATTCAAACCCATCTCGAACTAAACAGTCATTTCCCATACTATTTAAAAAATTTTAAATCCAGTGGTAAATATTATAGGATGACAGAAATATATTTTTCAATATCATATATTGTGTTCAATTTTATAAAAATGGGCTGCGAAACTCCATGCAAGCCTTTTTAATTTTTTTTTTTTTTGACTTCTTATTCTATAGTTATATAAAAGCAAACACTAAATTTTACATAAACACAAGAAAAATAGCCAAAACTTGTTAAAATGTCGCATCCCTATTTATTTGCCGCACCGCATAACTAACGAAAAGGTCTTACTTTCAATTAAAATTAGAATTTGGTTACAGTTAATCCAACAAACTTCGTTAATTGGGAAAATATAACATTTAATAAAAAAGTCGGAAATTGCAAGAGTCATCCTACACTCATAGCAAGGCTCTTTATGTCAGCATTTCACTGTATAAAAAGTTATTTTACCTACTTAAATTATTATTGTTTAAAATGAATATCAAAACAAACAACTAAATCTCGAAAAATTAGTTCCAGAGAAAAACCAAACCAAAATTTCAAAAAAAAAAAATGCTATCAATGCCCAAAAAAAGCTAAAATTAGCAATTATTTTAGTTTACAAATTATTGGTTTGAAGCGATTTGCCCTTTATTTTTGTGGCTATGAAATTGGCGGTCAGTATAAATAAATCAAGTCAAGTCAAGTTCGAGTACAGCTATTTTCTTTATAGCTGCGTTTTTTAATATCACAATTCCTGTCAAGCTTTCCGAAAATTAAAATTTGTACTGTACTTTAAAATATACTTGTACTTTAAAAATATGGTAACCTTACCTATGCAGGACACGCCAGTGTGCAGAAGTCGGCGAAACAACTACTCCACTAAATAAAATTAGACGCGTAATGTGCGGAGTGCCTTAGCATTTGAGTAGTTTAAAAAAACAAAATATGCGCTTTGGATAATATCCAGATTTCCTGTACTCTTTCAATTTTTTTTATTAACTTTTTTTATAAATTTTTATTATTATTAATCTGAGCTCTGACCGTCATGACGGTGGCGTATACGTTATCTTTTCTTACGCATTCGATATCAACATAAAACTTGAATTTGGAAGCAAATATTTGCTTTTGGATCAGACATATATACATACATCTAGGTATATATATATCTTTCGATGGAAAAAGATTTTGATATCCACAAATTATAACGATAAGCCAAAATTGGACTCTGAAATTAGAATGAAATTTTGAAGTTTAGCATACTAAAAATATTTTTGCGACTAACACTGAAAAGAAAAACCATAATAAAACGCCTTGAAATACTACAAAAATTTTAAATGAAGTTTGTGGAAGAGTCAAATGCCTCTAGTCTTAAGGCTTCAGTTCTCATGAAGAATCAAGTCGGTGATTGTTTTATTGCTGAATTCATATGTACATACATATGTATATTCTCGCACAAGTGTACATATTTTTAGCTACTATTTTTTTCTTTCTTCCACTCAGATAATATCAATTTCCCATTGGTAACATAATTTTTCTTTTTTTATCTTTAATCTTACAGATAATCATCACTGCCATGGATCGTTTCGTGTGGTTTGTTCTACTTGTGGTAATGTCGCATTTGGTGACCGAATTTACACGCGTCACTGGCTATGCGCGCGGCAACCGTCACGATGTGGTTCTCATAAATGATGTAAGTACAGATTTACATAAGTGATCGTATCATATGTACATATTTATGCACTCAGTGAATTAGTACACTTATGCATGTAATAATTTATTTCATTAAGCTTGAAGTAAAACTAAAAAACATACATATATAGTACATGGGCATATATGTGTTCATTTGCATATATTACATAGACACTTAAGTACATACATGCATACCTATTACCCAATATGTAAATATGTGATTTGTGTGGTATATATGTAGTAGGTCAAATGGTCTAAAATTTTTCCAAAGTAATTTTTTAGATTGACAAAGACATAAAAGGGGTGGCGCCCATTTCATTCCAATTTGTTTGTATTACATTTTAAATAGCTTTGAAAACGACTTACTGTGGTATTGCCAAACGTCATTTTACACAGCCGCAAATTCAGACATCGCGGCATAAATACAATTTCTCCTCGTGCTGTTAAAAGCGAGTTTGAAATCGACAAATAGATGGTGTGTGTCGATCCTATTCACACAATGCGCTCAATAAGACCTTGTACTCTATGCTTATAAGGATGGTCCCGCGGTAGTTGGTTGCGGTCGTTGGAAATGCGTTCCTCCGACCATATTTTTCATAAGAGTTGATGAATGTATCTTATAAACTCCTCCCCGCCGTACTTGAATAGCTCAGCTGGCAGCTCCAGCAGATTTGTTGTATTTCAGCAGCGTAATCGCTGTTAGTACCTCGTCGTGGTCAGGCGGGGGAACATCGACTACATCACTATCGACTATGGGTTCGGCTTCGTCTTCTCCATAACATCGGTCACTAGGTCACCATTGTGGTTCTAAGAGGAGTTCGTCTTGGTCTTGAAATCTTGGTGAGTCGCTTCTCGCTTCAGTTCCCTGTGACGGCCCTGCATAGCTCGCGTTTCGCCCTATCACAGCGAAGTAGATCAGCCTCGGTCCGTTGTCGGACGATTCATTGAAGAGGCTGAGTGGGCGCAAATAAGCGAGATGTTTAAGAATCTAGTTTTGATGCGGATTGTGGCTAGGCGCTCTCTAGCCACAAATCCATCTCCGAATTTACACTTCTTTACATGGCAGCTGAAGTAGACCAAGTACTCAGACATTTTTTGCCTCTCCCGGTCGAAGGCATTTATTGGATGACGGTGATGTCAGATTTTGACCTTACGAGTACATCAACCAGCCGGCAGAGGCATCTTCCCCATTAAGGGTCCGGACATTCCAAGTGCATGCTCTCAAATCGTGCAAACCGTGCAACTGTAATTGCATACCCAGAACAACGACTGTACTCCATTGCACTCCAGGCCCAGTAATTGATATTATACAAGAAAGTCTTCAACGTATTACAGCAAATGCGATAGTTTAGAGGTGACTGCAAGAAAAAAAGTAAGAGACTGATGTTTACGCGGAAACACCCGTCAACAATGCAAGTCATTACAACCTGCACAAAAATAAAATTAGTTTAAAGCATAACATCCAGCTCTCAAGAAAAACAATAGGTATTAAAAGATTTTACATACACTGACGGCAAAAAGTATTGGCACAGCAAATTTTTCACAATATATGCATACATTTTTTTTTTTAATATTTTTCCGCCTTTTTTTTATAAAAATATGGTGCATTCTGCAGCAAAAAACATAAGAACATAATTCCAAAACTCGCAAAAATTCAGCAAATTTTAATGCAAATTTTCAACTTTTTAATCAGATTTTTCAGAATTTTTTTTTTAGTATGCAGTTTTGCAGCCCATTAAATTCTAGCAAAAAAACTGCAAGTGCGAAATTAATTAAAAATCGCCGTGATTTTTAAGGTTTTTTTTTGTTGAAGGTGTTTTGCATTTTTTCCATATAAAGTATTTTCGAAAAATCTTTTTTTGTATGGAAGGGACGGCGTAAAAAAATTGCCAAAAATCAAAGGTTATTCCTAGCTACTTAAAACTTGTACTTTATTATTCTAAAAAATCTGATTAAAATTAGCTGAATTTTTGTGAGTTTTGCACAAAGTTTTGGAATTATATTTTAATGTTTTTTTGCAGCTATCACATACATATTTTTTTCTTCAAGAAAATCTACAGAAACGGCAAAGTTCTTTTTCAAATTAAAAATATTTCTTTAGATTTTTCTTAAGTACTAGAAACTAAACATAATTTGTGCATACACCCAAGTGCAAGCATTGTAGTAGCTTTGAAAATTGGCAAAGTCTAATTAGGTTCAACCCCTTTATCCTGCCTCAGAATAATTTGAAGGAATATAAAGACACACTTTCAGTGAATCTGCATAATTTATCCCGATCTCGGTGTTTCTCCGAACTACTAATTTGCTTTTTTTTTTTTTAGAACAGCTGTTCAAATCGATCCGAACTCTGTTAATTATACCAAATGTAATTAATTAAAATTTTATTAAAAAAAGTAACACCGGAGTAAAATTCCAGCAATGGCATCTGCCGCTAAATGATGCTGAAAGACCTTATAAAAGCTTACGCATTATCATTAGGTACAATAGCTAAGACCAATAATGAAAGCCACCTCTTACCGCACAAATTTATTAATTACTTGCACGCTACCTTTCTCACTTTTCTTTTAGACGTCCATGCGAACAATGCCTGTGGCAAGTATGATTTTGTATCCGAGCGAAGAGTACGGGCTGTATGACCAACAACAAATTTCACAGTACAACAACATCTATCCGAATAAATACAACGGCCAAAGCAACCACAATAACTACAATAACTACAACGGCAATCCGAATATGCAGCCAAACTCTCCAAATGCCGAGTCAGCTGCCACCGGTTTCCCATTCAGTTTTCGTCCCATTATAGACAGCATCTTCGAGGTAAGCCATCCAGCAGTGAGAGCGGAAATTCAATAAACCACTATTTACAATTGAATAATATTTCGGCGATGACTCCTACCAGCGTCGCCGCCGCCGCACCAAATCATCTGACGCATTTCATTAAATTTCCTTTCTTCTTCTTCTTCTTCTTCTATCCCCGCACAGATTCCAATATCAACGCTGCGCGCTGTCAACAATCTGGTGGCGCGCTTAACTGGCAACTATCAACACCAGGTGCCTTCAATGACTCCTGGCGTACTGAAATCCACCAACGACAATGAGCATCCGGACGCGCTGCAGGCCTTCCGTTCCTTACCAGCAGGCGTTGAGGGCGGCGTGACATCCGTGCAGGCATCGCCACCAGCGACCGCTCGGAATTCGGTAGCCGCAGCGACGGAAAATGATGAGAAGCACAGTTATAATAACAATAAAGGCAGCAATCCTGTAGTCAGAATGCGTAGGTCTCTACTGCGTAAGATGAACGCGTAAATCGGTGCACTGCTAACTGCCGGCCGACCGGCCGGCTGGCCAAGCAGAATGATAGAAAATAAGAAGGGCAGGGAGCAGCAGGCAGCAAAAGTTGAAGGCACGTCGATTTCACGCCTTGCGCGCGCGCACACATACACAAACACAGAGCGCGTCTTCAAGCATTCTTTGACCCAACTAGTTGTGTAGTTCATTTGCACTTCACTTCCTTCCACCCACCGATTCATTTTCATTCATGCATTTTATTATACGCTCATTTGTTTGGTTATAACTACGAGTGCTGTACACGCGAGTTTGGCTGTGTGGGGGTGTGTGTGTGTGTTTAGCAAAGGGTTTTCTTTGTGGTTTAGTTGTTCTTTATGTTCGTCACGATTCAATGTGCGCACATTTGCATAAACTTGTTCTAAAGTTGGCGATTTAACTTTTTTCGCACGTATTTGTTGTTGTTCTTTTGAGTCTTGAGAAACTAAGCCGCGGGAATCGCCTTTCACTGTCGGCTGACACAAAGTTTATTTTGTGTTGTATTGCCCGCGAACGGTTTAATTTTTTTTAATTTCCTTCACAAATTAAACACTCACTCGCCTTCATTTCACTTTTGCTGTCTATTCAGTCAGTTCTCTGCACAGCTTTTTCTCATTACTTTTAATTTATTGTATTTCGTCATTTAAGTTAATTGTTAAGCGCACAGTGACATCTTCGTCTTTCTGCAGATTTGAATGTTTATTTTAACGACTAATTTTTAGGCTAATTTTCTCTTTGTCATTTTCTGTTCATTTTGTTGATGTGATATTACTTTAGCGACTCCGTTAGTAGAATTTAAGTTTAAATGTGTTAATGCTAGACTTAAGGAATAGTTTTTGTAAGACAATAAGTTTGTAAATAAATCATATACATAAATATATGGAAATAAATTCAAATTATTATTAAATATTATTTTTGTGAACTCTATAGAAAACAAGCGGTGTAAGTAAATTCAGCTTTGGACGCTGTGGTTTAAGTAGCTTTTAAAAAAAGTTGCAGTTTTTATACGAAAGCAACCTTACTTCCTATTAAAGACACTTGAAAGGCTGATTGGCCTCTATATAGGCATATCTCTAGAACTTTTAACTTTGGGGGTTAATGCATATTTTCGTAGGTATACGGTCAAAATGGCTCTGTTCGGTATTTTTCTGAAGAGAATAATAACACCGAGCGGCAGTAAATTTTACACACCGCGTTTTCAGTTTTTCTCTCTGACGTCAGGATTGTTTTGAAGGACTTTGAATTTTGAAAAATATAATTTCAAAAAATTATTAAAATAAATCAGAGCAATGTGAACATTACTACGACTATCAAATTAAAGAAAAAATACTGTAGAATTAAGGCCGAGTAAATATTTTGGTGCATAAGGACGATAAGGTATTGAAAATGTCCTTTGAAATTTTACAATAATTACTTTCCCAGAGAGGAACGAGTGTGAAAAGGCCACCGACCTGAACCCAGGCTCTACGGTCATATATACAGATGGTTCATAGCTTAACAAAAAAGTGGGTAGCGGGATCTACTCTGACGAACTCGCGCTAAACCGCTTACGCAGAATTAAACGCCATAATGGAGGCGGCTCGGTGGCTTATAACCTCCGCCCTCCAGGACGGCCTATTGCTAACTATTCTGACAGCCACGCTGCTATCAAATCTCTTAACTCTAACGGAACAATGTCCAAAGTAGCCATAGAATGCAGGAAGACTCTCAAGCTGCAGGCATCGTTATGCTCCTTGACTGTTGTATGGCTCCCTGGATATAGGGACATTCCTGGCAACTGCCTAGCCGACGAGCTGGCAAGGAGGGGGACGGAAATATCTAAAGTCAATTCTGCTCAGAAGGCGGAACTCGTTGAGGAGGTAAATACATATAAGGTGGGCCGTGAAAACCACCTGCCATACCACCAGGCAAATTTGACCAAATATTAATGTAAAGCTATCCACAGCTCTTAACCGGCTGGACCGCTCCTCTCTCAGATTTTTGGTCGGGGTAATCACCGGACACTGCCTGATGGGCGCACACGAAAAAAGTTAGGATACTCCATCAACGATTTTTGTCGCAGTTGCAGGGACGAGGAAGAGGTGGAGACCATCGAACACTATCTCTGCCATTGTGCCGTCCTGGACAACACAAGTACGTTCTGCATTTGAACTCGGCGAACGTTCTCGACATTTTGTGCTATATAAAACGCACTGGGTGGTTCAATTACCAAGGGAGGTAAGGAAACAAATGGCTTCGGCCAGTGGTATCACAACGGGCTTTTCCAGCCCACATGTGCTCCGACCTTTATTCGCTTCCTTGTACCTAGAGTTGTTTACTTTTTTTAATTCCACAGAATTTTCTCTTTTTTGGTGTCCATATGGTTTTTCTACGTTGGAATGAACTTTTTAAAAAATTTTGTGGAGTGGCGGTCAAAAATATGTGAATGGTGTTCCGTTTTTAAAATTTACAATATTTTTCAAGCTAAAATTTTGTTGATTTTTTTTTGTAAAAATATAGTTCAAGCCATGATAAAAATATAGTAAGGTAGAACCGCTGAGAGTCACTTTTAATATTCTTGACGTTTCCAAACAATTTAATTTTTAAATTTACTCACAAACTCACACACACACATTTTCAATCTCAAGCAACAACAATTTCGAACAATTTCAATTTTTTGTTTTCACTTTTATATGATTTTAAAATGTTGGCAAACTTCAAAAAAAAATCATGGCCGACAAATTGAGAGAACGGTTATACCTTGCTATGCTTTTATCATGGTTCAAGCTTTAACAAAAACTACATAAATCACACTTTCAAACTTTATACAGAACTTAGAAAAATTCCATAAATTTGTATCTAAATTTCGAGCTTTTTAACCAGAATTTTTAGAAATTTTTTGGGTATGCAGCTAACAAGCTTATAAAATTCTAGTAAAATTGATTTTTAATCATTTTTTTTTTTTTTTGTTGAAAACGTTTTGCACTTTTGCCGCGATTTTTTAGCCGCGCAAAACTTGCACTTATCTTACTGGAACTTTATAAGGTTGTTAACTGCATATCAAAAAAATGTCTCTAAATTCTGGTTAAAAAACTTGAAATTTAGATAAAAATTTGTAGAAATTTTCTAAGTTCTGTGTAAAGTTGGAAAGTGTGATTTATATAGTTTTTGTTAAAGCATGAACCATATTTTTACAAAAAAAATATCAAACAAATTTTAGCTTGAAAAATGTTGTAAATATTAAAAATGAAACACCATTCATCCATTTTTGACCGCCACTGTATACGAAGCATACACGTTGGCATAGCTGGTATACGCTCTTCATGTGTAAGAAATCGATCTACCAATGCTCGTCAAGGAGCGAAACAGAAATCGTTTTGTTTGCACTCTTTTGCTTTGAAAAGGTACTGGATACTGTACAAAATGATTCAAATTGATCGCAAAGTTTGTATCTTTGGGCGAATAATTCGTTTGTTTTCGAACTCTGTGCACGCTGCATTCTTCATAAATTGGTAAGTGTGGAAATAAAGTTTAAACTAGTTATCAAGGAGAAAGTTTTCAAAGGTCAAAATTTTAAGCAATTTCACAGGACCACGGAAAAAAACAATGAAAGGTTATTTTAACCAGAGCAGGTGTTTTGCAAAGTCGAAAGCTAAATAAAGTTTTTGCTTTTCAATATAACAGTTATATTCGACACGGTCACAAAATTAGTTTCTTACTTCGATATTAATTTCGGCATTTTTTTTTTCATCGTCGTGACGGCAATCGATTTAAATCGACAAGATTTAGAGATTTCCGTATTCTGAATCACTTGAGCTTTGAAGCAAAATTCCGAAACTATGAGCCCATCTTTTGTAGATAGTTTGGCATGGCTTTTCCTACAAGGTACTACTTCTTAAGCTTATACACTCATATAATATTTGTATATGTATCTATGACCATATGTACATACATTCATACAAACATACATACATGTTTATTCAAAGTAATTTAAAAGTTTTCACATTAACTTGATAAAAGCTCTAATTCGAAGAAATTGAGTAAATTCGTGGAATCGAAACCGCCTATAATCCTACTATGACTTTTCAGTATTATACATTTCAGAAATTATTCATTACTTTTGCGCTTACCGTAGTGTATAAAATAGTAAAAGATTATTTATTATTCATAGCATATTTTGAGGCCCTAATTTATTTATTCGCACCACTCTTCCCACATGAATGCTTTTTGTGCAAACACAAGTTGAATTTATTAATTGTTGTTGGTTTCTATTATAGCAAATTTAATAAAACAGAAAAAAGCGAATAAGTTTAATTATTCATTGTACACGCCTGAAAGCTCTTTAGCGCATGAATATGTATGTATTGCGCTTTTATTTATACCCAGCAACACAGTTTCGTGCGGGAAATCATTAGCGATTGTTCATCTCAATGGAGTTTGTTATTTTCTTTTCTTGATGTTTGAAATGAAACAAATTTATAGCTTTGACAGAGATGTCAGCTCAGTACTGCGTAAGAACAAATGAAAATTTTTTTTTTCCTATTTGTGTTGCGCTTTGACTAATAAACCTGACCTGCCTGTTCGCCAATATATGTAGCACGACCTAGATCGACCAGATAAATACCCAACTTAATTGTGATCGCCCCTTGCTAGATACAGATAAGCCTACAAAAGTAAATTTTGCATCGCTGGTAAAGAAAATGTGACGAATATTGCATATTGACGCCCTCTAAATTAAAAATATAAAATGGATTAGTCAAAAATATTTTTACCGACTATTCCGCATACATTAACGTCCAATGCAACCAATCGCCGCCATTCCTTTACAATGCCGGAATCAAATAAGTACTTATGAGCAGCTCGCTAAGCAGACAGAGTAAACGACCTTAAGTTGCCGCGGCAGAGAGCAACAATTAAAATTTTGCATGCATATTTTCTTCTTTTTTTTGTTAGTGACAGCAACTGTTATCAGTAATGTCTGTAAAATGCATGCCTATTGGCGAGATTTAATTAAAATTGTATTACTAATAGCTCGTAGATTTGATTAGCTGCTTTTGCTTATCTTGGCTTCCGTATGACGGAAAGGGAATGAAAGTTCAAACACTTATGTACATATATATGTATTTACATGTACTTATGTACATATATTATGTTATACATACATGTAGTATATTGGATTGCGTCTTTATAATTATCATTCCAAATTATATCAATTATCTTTAAATCGAATACACAAGAGATATCCTGCAATTTTTAATAGACTTCAAAATTTGTATTCTAATATTAATTTTAAACTATTAATAACACTGGATCACAAATTGTATTTTGGTTTTTGTTCTTCAGACGGCACTATCCAAATTCTATGTAGAATTGCCCGGTGATTCCGAAAATCGAATTTTTTTTCTATGAATACGTTTTCGAGATATTTTCAATTTACCGTTATTCAGCTCAAAACAAAAAGTGATTCCACTTAATCACGTGTATCTTACGAGCCAATTTAACAATCTTAAATGGAGATACGTCAAATCAAAGCTAATAAAATTCTCCATAAACAATGCATATGAGCAAAAAAGCGGGTTACTCAGGTGTATGTGGCGTATGAGCAACTTTCTTTCCTGCTCATTTTTCATACAAAAAATCTTTGCGTAGTTTCATTTGAACACTCATTATTTCTAATTTATTCATTGATTTTCTTCATTGGTAATTGGATTTTTTTGTAACAGAACAAAAGTTTGTCACAGAACCTGTTATTTTTTAATTTTTCTCCTGCTAAAGTTGGATTTTTTTCATTTTTTCATTAAAAAAATTGAATGATTAATTAATTTGTCAGAAACTATAAGTCTTATCGGAAAGTGGTGTATATACAGTTTATGGAGAATTTTATTAGCTTTCATTTGCCGTACTTCATA